CCTTTCTAATCACCCATAGAAATCACGTGTGCACATCTGTGACTGCACGTTCAGACAGTTCTGGTGACTGTGACTCTGGAGACATGGAGCTGTGAGTCATGTACAGTCGAGGTGTGACCTTGATTTGATGCCAGCCTGAGAATGAGTAGTCACTCATTTTATGCCTGTAGCCTTCTTCCCCAAACCTTCCCGTTCATGGAGGAAAGCTATTTTGTGTTTTTAAAATCCATTTGAATGTTTCCCTGGGCAGAGTGTACACATAGGATTTCTGAAATTATACAAAATCACATGTAAGTGAGGGAGTGCCGCTCTGTAACAGGAAATGATTCCCCCACTGTTTGTGGGTATTATGTTCAGATTAAAGAAAACTTGAAAGAGAAAAATGAAAACCACATCTAGTCTCCCTTTCCTAGTTGGAATCTATAATTTGTTTATAAGATGGTAGACTTTTATTTGCTTTCATCTTTTTTGTGGGGGAATATTGAAGAGAATCTCACCACGTAGCCCACTCTAGTTAGGAACTCAGGATCCTCCCATCTCAGCTCCCACCCCACTCCCACCATGCACTGGGATTGCAGGCATGTGGCACCACACCCAGCTTGGTTTTGTTAATAGTTTTTTTTTTTAAGTTCCTATTGTCTAGATGAAATGGTAATAAACAAGAGAAGATCTCCCAGCCCACTCATCCCCACCCCAGCACATGGCAGTGCCATGCCCTGGGGACAGCAGTGGCAGCTTTCTGATTTCCATTCTGATTCAAGGGGACAGCTTTTCCCTCATTCCCCATCTATTGCAGGGTATTTGATCACACTGTGTGAAGATGCATCCTTCCTCACTGCCTAAGACATCTTCTGATTGGTTTAATAAACAGCTGAATGGCCAATAGCTAGTCAGGAAAGGTTAGGCAGAACTTCCGGGGGAAGAGAGAGGAACCTGGGGAAAAAATCCGAGAGGTGGGGATTAGCCAGCAAGATGCAGAGGAAGTCAGATGTGCAGTATGGAGGAGAGGTGACAAGCCATGTGGCAGAATGTAGATTAATATAAACGGGTTAATTTAAGTTTTAAGAGTTAGTTGGGAACAAGCCTAAGAGAAGGCCAAGCTTTCATACTTAACAAAAAGTCTCCATGTTATTATTCAGGAGCTGACAGTCCAAAGAAAGACCTGCTAAACCCATCTACACAATCAGACAGCATCATCGACCCTCCAGTTGGAACAGTGGCAATTTGGCTGCTTGTGTTGTATCGCATTTCATTTTAGTATTATTCCAGTTTAAAAGTGTCTAGCTATAGATGAGCTTTAGGGCTCTGCATCCTGGTGTAACAGCATCTCCTTGAACTCCACTTTGTAATACAAGATTATGAGTTCTTTCACTTCTTTTCTACCCTTTATCCTTTCCTTCCATTGTCCCCATGTTAGCTACAGCATCTTCCTGTGCATGGCCAAGGTCACTAACACTTACTGCCCCCTACTCCTCCGTGACCACACTCACAGTTGACCCAGGGTGACCCTGAACTTTGAAATCCAGTACAGAGCACTCACCACAGTGAGGACTATTCAGCGTTGGTGTGAGTGTCCTGCTATTCCATGCCTCTGTAGTTATGCAGTGTAAACCTCCTGGCTGTTCCAAAGAGCTTTTCTACCATTGCAGTCCGTTAGTGCAACTTTCCTAACACTTAAATTCATTCCACATTATAGTTTGTCCTGTATTTGGGCCATGGTTTATGTGTACACCAGATATTTTTCAGAGTTTCTAACTGATATTTTTTAATCGAATCATTTGCTGTTATCAAAGCCCTGACTCATGCACATGCTCCTTTAATTCTGCAGACTGACCTTTGTAGGCAGAGTTTTCTTTCCCATCAGCCAGTTTGCCAAATAACCACTCAGAGGCTTATTATTAATTATAAATGCTTGACTATAGCTCAGGCTTATTGCTAACTAGCTCTTACAACTTAAATTAACCTGTTTCTATTAATCTGTGTGCTGCCCCAAGGCTCATTTACCTCATCTATGGACTTCCCATGTTGCTTCTTCCACGTCTGGCCCGAGACTTCTCAGACTCTGCCCTTCTTCTTCCCAGTGTCCTCCTAGTGTGGCTCTCCTGCCCAATCTCTTCCTGCTCAGCTATAGGCCAGTCAGCTCTTTTATTAAACCAATCAGAAGGTGCCTTGGCAAAGACACACCTTCACAGTGTACAAAAGGATTATACTATAACAGACTTTCTTTTTTGGAGACCTTTAGAGACATCTGTATTTCTTTTCCAGTCTAGACTGATTATTTTCTAGGCACATGTCAGTGTGGTTATCCCGGTATCCACATGTATCACTTTCCCTGAGATAGACTATTTTTGAATGTTTTGGCTTCTTTGTTCCTTTATTTTGCTTGATTATATTCTTAACTCTTTGAGAAAAATGTGCATGCTAGACAAATTGTCAAATTTTACTTGTTTATGTGTATGTTTATTCTACACTCATAAAAATCCTGATAGTTTAGATAGGTATAGAATTCTGGTCATGATCTTCTTTTCATCCAGCATCCCTTGCAGTTTGTGAAAAGGACCTGAAGGATCTGCCCTCCTTTCTCTCAGGTGCCTTGTTTTATTCTCTCTGAAACCATTTAGGATTTCCACATTTTATTACTGATATTTTGAAATGTTACATTTATTCATATGAGAAAAGGAGGCAACTGGTTGGGGTTTCTTCTGTTTCTGGCATTGATTATTTCCCAGGCACATTTCTTTTCTGTATAGGATTCCATAACAAAGCTCTTGGAGCAGCTCTGAGATCCCTTTTAGGGTCGGCTCATGGGATGCTGGCTTTGGAATCCAGCCTCCCAGTGTCAGAATGACTTCTTTTGATTTCCAGATAGTGAGTTCAGTACTTCCCTCCTCCAGCCTGTCATTCTTATGAGAATACAGATCGCTCCATTTCCCTAGTTAAGTCTTTGACCACCTTCACATCCTCCTTATCCTGTCCCTCTGCAGGACACTGGTGTCTCTCTCTAGTTCTCCGGTGTTCTTGCCCTCCCCTGTTCCCAGGTATCATTGGAATCTCTCTTCTCTGTGACCACCAACACCCCAATGCTGCTTCACTTCCTCTGTTCCCTTTTCTCTACAGTTTTGCCTTCATTGTATTTTTACATCTTTATTTCTGTGGGAATCTCAACAGCGTTGGGAGGCAGACACCGTTCTGCCATTTTGAATCCTTCCAGACTGTTTTTAGGAAAGCTGTCAGCTCAGTTTTCATTTGTGCGTTGTTTCTGGGGTATAGTTTCCTGTTTCCCTGGTGTCTCCTCAGTTAGATTGAAAACCTGCAAGAGGTACAGGGCTGTACCCACATCATTCTGCTGCTTCTCCAGAGCCACAGACCCAGTGTAAGGCATTTCAGACGAAAGTGCTTGTGTGAAAAGCAAACTGCCTCCAATTCCCCCCTCTCTCTGATGGCACCCTCACCTTCTCAAGCCTCCCCCCTGTAATGGCACCCTCACCTTCCAAGCCTTTTCTTCTGTTCCCTCTGCCTGCCTTGGTCCATTTCTTACCTTGTCATCTTTCTCCCATTTAGCTTCTTCTCTGCATCCTCTCCCAGTCTTCCCCAGTGTGAAGAGGTAGAGCAGCTGTTTCCTGGGACAGTCTCCCCTTGCTGTTCTGAGGCCCTCCACGGTAGCATCACGCTTCTCCTTCATGACTCTGCTGCACATGGCAGTTCTCTAGAGATTGGTTTTTGAAAGTGTTGAAACTTAATAATTTCCAGTTCACAGCCAGTCTTGCTTTGTCTCCATTCCTCCCTTTCTCCATATAATTCTGAAGTAAATCCCAGATGCTGCATCATTTCCTTCACAGATGTTTTAGTATGTGTCTCAACAAGGGCCCTTCATAAATATGAGCACAATACCATTAGCACACCCGAGCTACTAAAGGCTGTAACGGATCCAATGAGTACAAATGTCCAATTGTTTAACAGTTGCCACTAATACTCTGTTCAATGCATCAAGCTGGGATCCCTGTGAAGTCCAAAGGCCGCTGTTGGTTGATGTGCCTTTTAAATCCCTTCTAAATATACAGGCTGCCTCTCCATCTCCTGGAATTTTATGAATTTTTTCAACTATTTCATGTAATTTCTTCCATGTCTCACTACATATTTATTTTATTTCCAATCTATTGAACTCTGTTTGTATAAAAAAAAATCAGAAAAGAGAATCTGGTCATCTGAGACTTGGTAGAGATGTGGCCGGCCATCCGACACAGTTCTTTTGTGCTGTGTGATTGGAAAGCTGGTCAGTTGGGAGCCTCTTCAAAGGACCAAGTACATAGAATTACAAAGTCTACTTTTTTAAGAATTACACTTATTTGCAAATGCATGCAGATAAGTGTGTGTGAATGTGTGTATGTGCATGTGTGTGAGTGCGTGTGTGCGCACGCGTGCGAATGGTATCGTAGTACATACATGGAGGTCAGAAGACAATTTGCAGGACTATGTCAACTCAGTTTGCCAGTCTCGGCTGCACCTCTGACTCATCTCATTGGCCCTCCAGTGTGCTTTTGTAAGGTCCAAAGGAGGAATTCTCACAAACCCTAAAGTGTGATAAAAATAAGATTTTATATTCAAGTTAGAATAACTTTATGTTGTCTGGTTTTCACCCTTAGTAAACCAATAAATAACCCCACCATCTAAAGATGGGATCAGAGTCTATAAGATATTACATCAGACTAGGAACATTTCACAGCCTTTCCATCGTGTTAATGCTTAAGTAGCGTGAATGAGAGCAAGGCCACATTTGTCTCAAGCATCACAGCTGTTTCGTGTTGCTTCGACATCTGTTTACTCTGGCACAGCAGTTTTCATTGATGGAGTCCAATCTTGTCCTTGCCTAATCCTTCTTCTTAAATGATGGACAGCATGTACAAAGTGTTATCATTGTAATGAATCAAATAATTGTCTCCCCTTTTTTGGCCAGAAATAAACTTGAAGAGTTCACTCTGCTTATTTTCTCCTGGTCTTAGGAGCTGGGAATCCCAAGTGTAAAATTGCAATTGTCTTGGGAAGGACAGAAGCTGCTTCTGTATCCAGGTAATAAAGCCGTTCTGATGGAGAGGGCCATGGAAGAGTGGGCCAGGTGTTCTTTTGTTTGTTTGTTTGTTTGTTGTTTTGTTTTGTTTTTCGAGACAGGGTTTCTCTGTGTAGCTTTGCGCCTTTCCTGGAACTCACTCTGTAGCCCAGGCTGACCTTGAACTCACCCCCAAGTGCCAGGCTTAAAGGCGTGCAACACCACCGCCCGGCGTTTCAGCCAGGTGTTCTTTATGTCCATTTATTCACTTAAAATGTACCACGTGGGCATCCACCATAGTATAAGATATGCTAGTGATTAATGTTGTATATCTGCATCTCAAGTGTTTTGCTTTCAAAATCTATCTGGGACACAATTTAGGGAATGAAGCTGTGCCTTTAGCAAGAGCGGCTGAGGTCATTTGCAGGCCAGTGACCTCAATACTCAGGAGGTGATGGAGGCAGGAGGCTCAGCCAAGTCCAGCCTGCTCCACACAGCACGCTCCAGGCCAGAACTTACATAGTGTTACAGAGTGAGACCCAACCGAAGGAGGGGGATGAGGATAAAGTGTTCATGAATCTTGAAAGATATTTAGATAAAGTGATGAGAAATTGAAATTTTCATTGTTCAGTGGTAGAGATTTTGCCTGTCATGTCTAAGGCCTTGGTTCAATCATTGGTACTGTAGAAGACAGGGAGAAAAATAAAACTAACTGTTCCGAGTTGTCTGAAATGTAGAAGCCTTTGGATGTGCGTATTAAAGGCAATTGTCTTAAAATGTTTAATTTTGGATGGCAGTTGTCATTTACCATGGTTGAGCAGTGAGGAGCCTCAGGTCTCCTTCATTTTTGAGTCATTGTTTCTGTTCCAGATCACAGCCTATGACAGACGGGGCTAAGTATGTGGTTCATGCACTTACCATTACAGCCGTCCTTACGTGTGTGAGCTCGTGAGTCATCTCAACTCTTAGCATTGTGTCCCTAGTGCCGCTTTTCTTTTGTGCAGACACAAACAGCACAGCATGATCCTTGTTCCGATGGACACACCTGGAGTAGAACTAATAAGGCCTTTGCCAGTGTTTGGCTACTTGGGTAAGTACTCTGTAAACAAGTCCGTGCATCACACTCAGGACGATGGTGCCTGCCGAAACACTTAAGGGAATCAGCAGTGCAGTTAGGAGACCCTCAGGCCCCGTCAGCTCTTCAGTATGCTAGGGAAGGTCCGGACAGATAAGAAGTGGGCTGGGGCAGCACAGCTTCCTGCCTCGATGCTTACGCTGTGGAAAGAGCAGGTTGTCCTCGGGAAACAGTACTGACTGGCAGCTTCTCTGTATGGTGTTCGTATACTTAGAAAGAAAACTTCAATTATAGGAAAAAGAAGAGTCAACATTTAAAACACTGAAAGTGAGTAAGCAGTGGGAGTTTCTGATTTTCTCATTCTGGAAATTAATGTCTAAGGATATAGCATGTCTGCTCAAGGGAACGGATGAAACAGATGGATAAATCAATTTGACATAATCTACTGAATTTTGTAGAAACCCTGTGTCAGGGAAAAAAAAAACACTTCATACTTAGGCTGTTTTAAGATTTCCTCTGTCAAGGGAATTAATCCAAAATTCTTCACTTTAGCCTCAGGCAGATGCTTTAGACAAGGGCAAAAGGCAACCATTTTCTTCACCAAAATATCACAAGAATGATCTCTAGGCAACACACTAAAATTCTCCTCTGAAATCTCTTGAGCTCCCCCATAGTTCAAATAACTGTTAGCACCACTGTCTTCCATGCTCCTCCTAGTGAGCCCCGTGAAGCAGTGCTTAAAGCATTCCACTGCTTTCCAAACCCAAAGTAACAAAGTCCAAATCCCTCCAAAGGAACACATGCTCAGGCCTATCACATCAGTACACCAGTCCCTGGTACCAACTTCTGTCTTAGTTTGGGTTTTTATTGCTGTGAAGAGACACCATGACCAGGGCAACTCTTATGAAGCAAACATTTCATTGGGGTGGCATGCTTACAGTTTCAGAGGTTCAATCCGTTATCATCAAGCAGCATGGCGGCATGCAGGCAGACATGGTGCTGGAGTAGTGGAGAGACCTACATCTTGCAGGCGAAAGAAAGTCAACTGACAGTCGCACCGAGGGAAGCTTGAGCAAAAGAGACCTCAGAGCCCGCCCCCACAGTGACGCACTTCCTCCAACAAGGCCACACCTCCTAATAGTGCCACTCCCTTTGGGGGCCATTTTCTTTCTAATAATCACAGGTGACAACCTGAAGACACCAAAAGTGAATCTGGAGTGTAGGCTAAGTGCATGCACGCTGCGCCTCAGAGTCCAAGTCTGTATTTTTAGTGTAGCAAATGCACCCACATCACTTTAGCTCCCTGTACCCAAGGCCAAAAGAAACAGCATGGAGAAGGCTGATTATTTGTTCCATTGTGACAGAAAAAAGGGGGTGGGGTTTGCCTGAGACTGTCTTTAGAGACAACAGGGAGGAGGGGTGATTCAGATGAAGTGGGGATGCAGTCTGGCCCCTGTGATGCAGGTGCCAGTGTTTTCAAGAGGCAGCATGTAGTGGAACTGGTACAGCCCAAGGTGGCAGACAGCCTGATGGTTGTATTTCTGCTCTTCACCTACTGAGCCTGCTTGTCCCCTTGAGCCAGTTCCTTGGCATTCTTAAATATCAGTTCCCATAATAAACAAACAAACAAACAAACAAACTCCAGAAATATTACTCACTTTCATGCTTGGGAGGGTTTAATTTTTGTTTGTTTGTTTGTTTGGTTGGTTGGTTGGTTTTGTTTTTCGAGACAGGGTTTCTCTGTGTAGCTTTGTACCTTTCCTGGAACTTGCTTTGGAGACCAGGCTGGCCTCGAACTCACAGAGATCCGCCTGGCTCTGCCTCCTGAGTGCTGGGATTAAAAGTGTGTGTTACCACCACCCAGCGAGGGTTTAATTTTTTTTATTTAGTTCTTGTGTGTGGAGTGTGTTGTGCAGGTGCGCATGAGTCCCTGCCCATGTGTGGTCATGCCTTGTAGGACAGTGCTAACATTAACGTCTCCCACTGTGGCTCCCGACCTTGTCTTTTAAGACAGGCTCTCTCACTGAACCCAAACTCACTGCTTATGAGCCAGAGAGCTCCGGCTCTGCCTGTCTCTGCTCTACCAGTGCTGGGGCTGCAGATGTCCGTAAGCATCCCTGGATTTATGTGGGTGCTGGGGATTTGAACCCAGGTCTTCATGGCACTGGGCAGGCCCTCTACCAGCTGAGCTGTCTCCCCAGCACCTGTTTTGAATTTTTAGATTTTTTTTTTCATCTTTTCCCCCAAACCAACTGACCTTTGGGTCACATGTATGTACATGTGTGCTGTGGAACCTGGTCCTCCATTTCCATAGCTTTGCGACTTCAGATGACAGATTAAAACATATCTATCAACTAGTTCCTGAGACCTCTTCTAACTCAACAGTTGAGTGTGCTGTCACATCATGTGCTGTGGGCTGAGGGTTGAATTCTACCCTGGAATGTCCGCAATATAATCGTCTTTGAAATGCTCCTTTCACTGAATAATTATACTTTATAGCAGAGTCACCATCTATGACTTCTTTGCTCAACTCATCTCGTATTTTAAATTATTTCTGTTTTGTAGATAATGTACATGGTGGGCACTGGGAGGTCCATTTTAATCATGTGCGGGTTCCTGCCACCAATTTAATACTCGGTGAGTATTTAACATCCCCCCTCCCAGTAATGTATATTCCTGTTCCCAGGTCTGGAGCTAGAAAAGATACACAATCTTAATTTAGATACTTCCCACCTTATTCCAATTATCAAGGAAAATGTTCCTTTTGTATATTTTTCTTATCTAGGATAATACGGTTTTATCTGAATATTAAATGAGAATTTTATATTTTATGTAAAACTTATACTTTATATTTTATAACACCTGGAAACATAGCTGAATACCAACATTATCAAATTCAGAGCAACATGCTTTTCCTAAAGGCGTGGTCGGGGGCTCCCTACTAGTTTTAAGAGAGTGTCAATACTTTCTTTGAATTCAGATCCAAGAGAGAATAAATAGAGTACAAGTTTAAATGTTCACTACATGCCTGAGATGACTCCATCTTTCCATTCACTGGAAACCTCCCCAACCTTCAAAGAATGGGGTTTCCCTCTCGTTCCCCCGACAGGCCCCGGGATTACAGTGGAGGACAGTCTGCCCCTCCTTGGCCTTCCCCGTCTCACTGTGTCACTCTTAGCCAGGTCCTTTCTTTTCTAGACTAGATTCCTAAGGTGGGGACGGTGCTTCAGCCAACTTTGTAGCCATTGTGGCACTAATAAAGCAACTGATACTTTACTCAGGGGACAGACTCCCCTACATCATAATTAACTTTATTGCAAAATTGTCTCTTTCCTCACCAGAAGGCTGTTTATATTAAGGGCAGCTCAGCTTTTCCTAGAATTCATGTAGCTAAAAGGGACTGGCTGGGCCGTCTTCATGTTCTATTTGCCTTCTCACAGGTGAAGGCAGGGGGTTTGAAATTTCCCAAGGCCGCCTTGGACCTGGAAGAATCCACCACTGTATGAGAACCGTGGGTTTGGCGGAACGCATTCTGGAGATCATGTGTGAACGCGCAGTGCAGAGGGTAGCCTTCAAGAAGAAGCTGTACGAACATGTAAGAGGATCTGGAATGTCCTTGGACTTGGTGTCGCCTGCTAAGCTACTCTGACCTTAGTGAGAAGAGAGCACATCTGTGCTGGAGAGGTTTCCTCTGTGTGAGCACAGGATTCTCTGCTGTGGGCGTGGTCACGTCCTGCCTGGGAGGCTGCATTTCCCCTTGTGAAAGGTGAACAAGTCCTTGAGGCTCCAACACCCAGCACACAGAGTGTGAGGATGGCTTCAGCCTCCTCCGACTCTAGAGAGCCTGGGACATCACAGTTCACTGAGGACTTGGGGGGATTGTCATAGAAAAAGAGCTTGCCTTGTCCTTTGGGTTTCTAGAAGGAATTAGAACAGATAAGTGTAACAGATAAGTAAACGTAGAGGAAAACAGCGCATAACTCAGAGAAAGACAGAATATTCTATAATAGATTTAAAAATGGAATGGGCTGATTCTGGAGGAAGCCAGTTTACTACTTATGGAGAAACAGAAATGGGGCTAGCATTTGTTTGGAGGTACATGGTTTTTGATTTTCATCTATAAATTATATACTATCGAGTCTGTTATTTACCACCCGCTATAAATATATTTAAAATTGGCAGTAAAATCAAGTCATGTGTGTCAGCAGAGGAAAGAGGTGTGGCTGTAGACTCTGGAGAACTTTCTACAAGAGAGCCAAGTCACTGCCCCCAAGGCCCTCCTCATTTTTAAGAAAGCAAGAAAACTTAATATTAGGAATTTCACCTTCCTGTTGCTCACATGCCGGTATTAGGTCTGGCTTGTGTTGACAGATGTATTGTGTTTGCTGCTTAAGTGTATCTTATTGTGTGAGTCCCCTGTACAGTTGTGACCTTCTCAGAATGCTTCACAACAGCTTTTGTTTGTTTGTTTTTTGTTTTTTCAAGACAGAGTTTCTCTGTATCACAGTTCTGACTGTCCTGGAACTTGCTCTATAGATCAGGCTGGCCTCCAACTCTCTGAGATCTGCCTGCCTCTGCCTCCGGAGTGCTGGGATTAAAGGCATGAGCCACCACCACCCAGCCACATCAGCTTTTTGCTTAGGTTTGTTTGTCTTGTTGTTTTTTTGAGACAGAGTCTTTCTGTGTAAGCCAGGCTGTCCTAGAACTCAAAGAGATCTACCTGCATCTGCCTCCCAAGTGCTAGGATTAAAGGCGTGCACAAGCACCCCCAGCTTTCACTTGGGTTTTTATAGGCTGTGTTTATGTCTATCTTCAGTGTTGGTTCTGGGGGTGGTGCTGGTACGGATAGAATACTAATATTAATCATAGCAGTATTGTAGCCGAGGAGGGCTAGAAGGAGGGTGCTGCAAAACGCAGTGGCAGAAGTTACTTCACTAATATTTGTGAAGTGTTTGTGCTCGCTAGCATGGATATGGTTTGTTCACAACATTGTTCTTTAGAAGAATGCAGGCAGCCTCCTGACACCATACCCAGGAACAGTTTGTGGGAAGCCCCTTTGTGTATAGAGAGCACTAGGAGTCAGCAGTTGAGGAGCACTGTGGAAAGATGTGGGGTCATGATGAGTATGGCCCTATTCCTGCCGAAAAGGACTTCAGAGTTGCTCATGGCATTGGCCATGACTTCTACCAGTATCTTTTCAAGCTTGTCATGTAAGTGCTAGAGCAAGGTGAAGGTTGGACATGGTGGGGTGTCCAGCAGGCCCCCTGATAAAGGTAAAGGGAGGACATGGTAGGGGTGTCCAGCAATGCTCCCCCACACCATAAAGGTTCTTCCCAGGTGCTTTTGGGTGGTGTGTGTTTGGGGTTTTTTTTTTTGAGGCAGAGTTGCTCTGTAGCCCTGGCTGTCCTGGAACTCACTTTGTAGACCAGGCTGGCCTTGAACTCAATGATATGCTTGCCTCTGCCTCTGCCTCCCAGTGCTGGAATTAAAGACATGCACCACCACACCTGACCTGGGTGGTGTTTTAAAGTGGCACCAGGGAGGATTTCTCGCCTGTCTTTTAATATATCCTGCTATGCCAAGGAGGACTTTAAAAACATGTGTCTCCTTCTACTGGAACCCTCCCATCTGGCCTGAATTAACTGTGCGGGCAGAGGCAGAAAGAGAACGTGTAGGCATGTCACAAACAAGAATCTGCTCCAGTTCTTGTTTTCAATTTGTAAAAATGACGTTTTGTTTCCCTGAATGTGGAGACTCCTTCCAGCTGCCTCTAAGTTATTCCAGCTGTAAAGTAGAATTTCATCTTAGTCAATACATTTGACTGTTTCCTGGAGCTTTCAATTTCCATCCTTCAGTGCTTTTCAGCAAATCTGGGGTCTGAGGCGACCCAGCTGGGAACTTGACTTGGTTCTAACTAAGAAGGACGTGCATTTAAGTCTGTTCCTGAAGTTGTGATTTCCCTGTTCTTCTTCCATCACAAAGTTCATCAACTCTGGCAGCTTGCTTAAAATTCATTCTGAGCCTGTTTTTACCTGTTAGGCCAGTCCTGACCCAAGTCCGGGCACCACAGGCCACCACCATGCTGTTTCTGTGGCTGTATGTTTGAAAAGTAAGAAGAAGCAGTCAAAGTTCATTCAAAAAAATATTTTTAGTTTGGTTTGGTGGCTCACGCCTTCAATCCCAGCACTCAGGAGACAGAGGCAGGTGGATCTCTGTGAGTTCGAGGCCAGCCTGGTCTACAGAGCGAGTTCCAGGATGCCAGGGCTGTTAGAGAGAAACCCTATCTCAGAAAAGAAAAAAAGTTTGTATTTTTTTTTACTTTACCCAATGTATGTGATATATGAAAGAAATATAAAAATGGGATTAATAAGGTAGTTTGCATTTTAAAATTGAATGCACATTTTACACTTCATATTACATTTACATTCAGATTAGACATACTTTAAATCTTAGAAGCCACATGTGGCTGAAGAAGATGACTGACCTTAAGATGACTGTGGGAAATTCACATGGCTTGAATTCAAGTTCCGTAATATGCTGATCAGGTTTAGCAAACATCATAAACAATAGTTCTGTGTTTAAAATCGGGAACCCAAAAAATTCTATTTTGATCACTGGGATCATTTACTGTGTCCCCTGGGCTTCCATGCTGAATTATGAATGTCTGATTGCTTCTGGGATTTCTGGTGCATCCACATGGTACATCCATGTAGTACATCATATAGTATATTCATGTAGTACATCCATGTGGTACATCATATAGTATATTCATGTAGTACATCCATGTGGTACATCCATATGGTACATCCATGTGGTACATCATATAGTATATTTATGTAGTACATTAATGTGGTACATCCATGTGGTACATCATATAGTATATTCATGTAATACATTCATGTGGTACATTCATGTGGTACATCCATGTGGTACATCCATATGGTACTTATGAACCCATATTCATATACTTACCTCATCAGTTCTAAGTTCTAACAAATGAAGAAAACTCAGAATTTTCACTGAGATAAGTGAGAAGCAAGTACTCATTTTTACTGTTTTATTTTGAGATAATTAGAGCCACATTCAGATTTAAGAAATAATGCCAAAAGATCCCTTCTTCTACCCAGTTCTTTTCAATTTTAACAGCTTGCAATGCTATAGTACCATATCAGGATGATGTTGATGTTGTCATGGATACCATTAGGCTACAAAGTTTCCATCACCATAGGCTCATTTAGGCTGTCCTTGTATGAGGCAAACTCACTTCACTCTCACCACCGTTATCTTCATTGACTCCTACAACCATTATCTGCTCCATTTTAAGTAATATTTTCATTCCAGACATGGAATTATATAACATGTAAGCCTTTGGGGATCAGCTGTTTTCCTCTGTCATTGTTCTTGGGAGAATCACAAAACTGTGATTCAGTAGCCAGTTGTACTGCTGAGCAGAATCGCTCTGTATAGCCTACTGTAGGTGAGCTATGCATCTGTGAGGGATACCTGTGCTTTTGTGGTTTTGCGGTTTTGTTTTTGGTTCCTACGAAGCTGGTATTGGGTGAATAGTAGCTTTCCATCTATCTGAGACCCATGCCGAGAGAACAGTTCCTGGGCAATGTGGTCATTGTATGTTCAGCTCACAAGCTGTATGTAAGTGGTCCGGTTTCTGTGCATCCCCACCAGCATGTGATGGTGTCACAATTTTCTTTATTAGGCATTCTGATTGGTTTGTAATGATATGTCAAACCACGTTCATTTATGTCACCCCTACAGAGACATCTTGTCATTGTTTGCCATATTCCTCCTTTGGGCTTGTCTGATGCCCATTGTTTACTGGGACAGTTTGGTGTTTTCTCCTGAGTTGGTTTTACATTCTGGGCATTGTACTTAATTGCCCTGTGGTTTTCAAGTATCCCCCGCCCCCGCCCCGCTTTGGTGTTTTTTTCCATCCTCTAACAGGGTCTTCCACAGAGCAGGAGTTTTCTGACTCTCATTTGTCCTGGGCGTCAGTCTGAGGGCCTTTGCTTTGCCCCCTCTGTACTGGAGGTTTTAGCTGACCGTTTTCCCAAGGTCTGGCACCGTGTACTGGAGCCCAGAGCAGTTCAGTCGCGATGTGAGGCATGGGCCTTCAGAGTCCTGGTCCTCTGTTCATTTGCCCCCACACTTGTTGGAGAAGTGCCTCTCCTCCACCTAAGTGCTCTTGTGCCTCCGCAGAAGTCAGTCGGGCTTGGTGGTGGTGTTCTAGTTCAGGTTCTCATTAGGTCTGAACTCTCTGAGTCTTTCTCTACCAGCACTGCACATTTTTATACAACTCGTCTCCAAATAGGTTACACTGAATCCTCCCCCTTTCCTCTCCTCTTTAAATGTTCCAGCAACTCTAGCACTTTGTTTTCCCACGTAGTTTTTCTCTGAAGTTCGCTCTACCTGCCATTGGATTGTGTTTGCAGACACAGCTTTTCCCTTTTTGTTTTTGCCTTTTTTGCTGTGTCATATTTCAAGACAAGAATAGACTTACCAATAGCAAATAAATACATCAAAGGAAGATCGGAAGTGCCAAGCATTAGGGAGAATGCAGGCTGGAACCACAGTGAAATGTCTCTGACTAAAAGATTGCTAACAGTGCCCAGTGCTTGGGAAACATCCAGAATTGTCATATCCAGCCACTATAAACACTACCTAGTACAACCACTTAAGTCAACTATTTCTTCTAAATGTTAGCCAGTGGCAAACAATTCCACTTCCAGTGTTTGCTTTAAAAAAAAAAATGAAGAACATATACTCATCCCAAAGCCTGTATAGAAATGTTTTCAGGGGCTGGAGAGATGGCTCAGTGGTTAAGAGGACTGACTTCTCTTCCAGAGGACCCGGGTTCAATTCCCAGCACTCACATGGCAGTTCACAACGTTCTGTAATTTCAGTTCCAGGGGACCTGACACCCATGGCCAAACACCAATGCACATGAAATAAAAATAATTAATTAGAAATGTTTACGGAAGCTCCGCCAATCGGAAGTAGGTACGGCCCCGATGTCCCCCGGCAGATGAATGGGTCAACAGACTGTGCTCACCCCGAGAATGGGGTCATCCTCAGCAACAAGCGTCACTGCCAGTTAATAAACAGAAGGGTTGGGTGAAATTCAAAGCATTACACCGGGTGAAAGCAGCCATTCTCCATCAAGTCCGTGCTAGATGATCTCATTACACAGCATTCCACACCCTGGAAAGGACAAAGCTGTAGGGACGACCTGTCATGGTGGGTGGGTTTAGGAATGTGGGGTTGTGAGACCAGCAGGCCGCAGCACTGGGGATGTTTGGGGGATGAAACTGTTGTAGGTAGCACATGTGTGTTAAACTCTCAGAGCTGTTCCCACAAGGTCTTCCTGCTTGTTTGGGGGAGGGTTCTGTTTGTTCGTTATGTGTATGGATGTTTTACCGGCATGTGTACCGGAAGAGGGCATCAGATCCCCTGGAACTGGAGCTATAGATGGCTGTAAGCTGCCATATGGATGCTGGGAACTGAACCTGGGCCCTCTGGCAAAGCACCAGCCTGTGCTCTTAACCACCAAGCCCTCTTTGCAGCCCTGGTTTTGTTGAGACAGGGTCTCATGTAGCCCAGGCTGGCCTTGAATTCCTGATTCTTCTGCCTCTACTTCCCAAGTACTGTGGTTACAGGCACAAGGCACTTCTCCAAGCATGGGAAAGGTCATTTTTAATACATAACATCACACTAAAGGACTGCTGGGTCATCCTGAAATTGTGCTGAGAATGATCTAGCCTGATTAGAACCGCTCCTCTATCGTACATATTCGAGATGTCACTGAGGGCCTGTAATTGGTATTCACAAGGGCCACAAAGAGTAGTATGGCAATAAGACAGTCGCTCAGTTCAGCCATCTTAACATCAGACATTAAGATATCCAAAATAGGCACCTGCCACCATGCATGATAGCCTGAGTTTGAAGATCATGACACAAGATACACACACACACACACACACACACACACACACACAAATTTTAAAACACCCCAAATAAATTATTTTTCTGAGCAAGTAACACTTCTACAATCTCCTCATTTAAACTATGGTATTCCACAGGTTTGTAGCTAGGCTGGTGTACATCAAGAGAATCAAGTCTTTGACTCAGAACCATATACAGCAAGGTTTGTGGACTACCATTGGCCTAGAAAAGGTTTATCAAATACAAGACTCCACTGATTCTTCCCTCGCTCCCCTCCAGGAGGTCGTGGCTCACTGGATTGCTAAAAGCCGCATAGCCATCGAGGAGATCCGCCTGCTGACCTTGAAAGCAGCTCACAGCATAGATACTGTGGGTAGTGCTGCAGCCAGGAAGGAGGTGAGTTATCCGCCCTCTCCGACCCCGGCACCACCAGCTGCAGCCTTCTCTGCCTCTCCCACCCACTGGCTGTTGCAGGGTCTATGCCCCCTGCAACCACACAGATTATAGGAAGTTTCCACGTGCTTTTGGCTTTCTTCTCACCGGGCTGCCCAAGAGGAGACTTTCAGGATGCAGAATGCCTCAAGAACTGTTAAAATGAGACAACAAGGGGTGGGGGAGATCTAGGCTTTCTCCATACCTGGAATTGATGGTGCCCACCATTCACTCTAGCCTTGTGTCCGAAGTGTCTAGTATTTCTCTGCCTTTGGTGTCGGGCTAGATGATGGGTGTGGACTGTATGGGAGGATTCTCCCACATTGTAAATGTTCCATAAAGACATCTACTGCCCCCTGCCTTCTCACGTATCCAGCTTCTCTGGAGTAAGACATACTCATTCTAAAAGCCCATAAAATTTCTAAGAAGAAAAACATGATTAACGGAGCAAAGACCATGGACTTGGTGTGAGCAGAAACATTCTGAGTATGATTTACAAGCTGCCTGAAATCCTTTTGGAAACAAAGGCAACTTAAAAAACAAATGTGATCTGGAAGCAAGATCTCTTTCCAGAAGGTGGCTGCTGACTGAAATATAGCCGCTCACTGTATTGCTGCAGCCTTCTGCTGGCCTCCACCACAGATCCTGTTCAGTGATGACTTGGGTGTGGGAAAGTTTCCTGGTTTGACTTCACAGAGAATTACCAATTCTATCAAATCCTGGCACACTTTGCATGGTCTGAGAGAAGCACATTCTTTTCCTATCTTGCTTACGTAGATTGCAATGATCAAAGTGGCAGCCCCAAAAGCCGTCTGCAAAATAGCTGACCGGGCCATCCAGGTGCACGGAGGGGCAGGCGTTTGCCAGGATTACCCTCTGGCTAACATGTGAGTACACGTCGTTTAAGGACATTTACACTGAGCACCCGGGAGATGGTTTGGTGGATAAAACGCTCTCCACACAGGTGTGGTAACCTGAGTTTGAGTTTCAAGAACCCAGGGAAAGGTGGGTACAGTAGCACCTGTCTGTAGTTTCTACAGTGCTTCTACTTCAAGCTGGGAGGCAGAGGCAAGGGGAGCCACAGAAGGTTGCAGGCCAGTTAGCCTGGCTTACAAAATAGTGAACAAAATGGAAGGTGAGGATCAACAACCAAGATTGTCCTTTGATCTCCATACAGGCACTATAATGTTGTTTTATCTTCACCCAGTGGCTGTGCCTTAATCTACTGCTATTTCCGCCAGCAATCGTGACTCCACAGTTACCTGCCTGCTTCCCTGGCAGCAGCTCAGCTGCTCAGGCCACAGCCTGGCGGGAATTCTGTTCCCACAGTCTCTGGCTCTGTTGCTGCTACTCAAAGTAGCTTTAACTAAATCTCTATCATTCTATTTATAAATAGGACTCAAGATTCAAAGGCTGGGGTGAAAACCTGTTAGCTCAGAGAGGTTGAATAACAACTAGCTAACTTTCTCTCCTTGATGGCATCTCCCAAAAAGCATGTCCACCATTCAAAATCCTTCCCTACTACTTCTGGTGCACCTCTCTATCTCTTCCAGATGCCCTCTGGTGCTCTTTGATTACTTTCTGTCAACTAGTTACTAACACAAGGTTAATTTTATTTAATTAACGCAAATGTTAACTTGGAGTTCACAGTCTGATCGAATATCCCCCAACACTATAGTATGTGTGAGCACATCCTTATACACACACACAGACACACACCCCATACACAAAAATTTTCAAAACAAAAGGTTGGCATTAAAAATACAAAGATTGGGGGTTGGGGATTTAGCTCAGTGGTAGAGCGCTTGCCTAGCAAGCACAAGGCCCTGGGTTCGATCCTCAGCTCCAGAAAGAGAGAGAGAGAGAGAGAGAGAGAGAGAGAGAGAGAGAGAGAGAGAGAGAGAGAGAGAAATACAAAGATTGAAATAAGTGTCGATCAAAAGATAAAATCAGGGTTTTTTTTTGTTTTTTTGTTTGTTTGTTTGTTTGTTTGTTTGTTGTTTTGTTTTGTTTTTCGAGACAGGGTTTCTCAGTGTAGCTTTGCACCTTTCCTGGAACTCGCTTTGGAGACCAGGCTGGCCTCGAACTCACAGAGATCTGCCTCCCAGGTGCTGGGATTAAAGGCGTGCGCCACCACCGCCCAGCCAAAATCAGTTTTTTAATCTACAGATGCTTTGATGGTAATTGTTTAGGAAAAGAAAAAAGGCACTTCCTTTATGTAATTGAATGTGAAGTTATGTAGAGTTAGTGTAGAGTTTAGCTCTAAGAAACAGCTGCTTTTAACTCGGCTTTGTTAGCCTTTGCCTGAGGAGTACACTGAGAGCTTCTGGGCTCCAATATGGAGTTCCACCCAGAGCAGGAAGGAGGGGAGGGCCCAGAGACATGGAGGGGCCCAGAGCCAGGCCCTGTGTTCACCCGTGAGGAGGCAGCAGCTGAATGTGCAGCATTGGTAGCAACGACTGTCTAGTGCTGGACTCTGGTTACTGGGGGACAGGATGGAAAGTTCTCTGTTCCCCAATTGCCCTTCTCCACACAGGCACTCTGCCATGTTCTTGTCTCACTGGAGGTACCCTCTTACACACATCTATTTTTAACCTTAAAAAGAGCTAAATATGCACCCCCATCCCGTCGGCTGCCGTGACCTTCATCAGAGCTCTTGGTTCCAGTCAGTTCAGAAACGCATCAAGCCCATAGAGTGAGAACAGCCCACTGGCGCCTTGTAAAGTTTGGCCTTTTTGCCAGCATGGTGGTGCATGATGGCAGTGCATGACTGTAATTATGGTACTTGGGGGTTGGGTAGCGACAGGAAGACTCAGAGTGAGTTCCACCTGGGCTAGCGACAGGTTAGCCTTAGCCACGTAGCGAACCCTGCTTCAAAATCAAACAGAACATTCTGTTTTCCTGAGTTGGGGCTTTTATTTAGCAATATATTATCTAGTCACATGTATTAACTATATATACAGTAGATAATGGAGTTAATTGTGGCATTTCCACATATGTGTGCAGCCTGCAGTGATAGATGGGAGTTCTTTTTCAAATATTTATCTGAAATGGAATCTCGTTTATTTATTTCAGATAGAATCTCCTGTAGCCCAGGCTAGCCTCAATCTCAACTTGCTCTGTAGCAACGAAAGACCTTGAACTTCTGATGATTCTCTCATCTCTAACTCACTAGGATTGCAGGCTGTGACATCACCCCTGGCTTTTATGCGGTGCTGGGGATTAAACTCGGGGCCCTGGTATGCTAGGTTAGCACTGTGCGGAGAGAGCTGCCTCTAACTTACGGAAGCGCTTTCTTTCACTTCTGGATGAAGACTCCCTGACACTTTGTTTGTAAGGCTGTCTGACGGTCGGGATCCCCAGATTTTGCCTGTTTTGGGTACCATCTCTCCTTCCTTCATGAAGGCCCAGCTTTGCTGGGCATTGTAATCTTGTTTGGCAGTTACCTCTTTCACGACTGGAATACGTTCCTTACTGGTCTATAGGTTTCCTATTGAGAAGTCTACCGTTAGTCTAAAAAGGACAGCCCTACATGTGGCTGGGTACTTTTCTCTTGCAGATACAATTCCTGTTTTGTCTTATACCATTGGCAGTTAAGTACAATCTGCCATGGTGAAGCTCCTTTCTGATCATGTCTATTTGAGGTCCTATGTCTCTTTACCGTTTCACTGAATGAATTTTATACCCTCTGAACTTTTTCCCCTTACCTCAGGTATTCTAAAAATGCATTCAGTGGCATCCCCAGAACCCTGAACTCACTCCTTTCATTGTGTGTCCTCTGTTTGATGGAGCAATGCAAAAGAGTTGAGAGGAGCTTTCCTTGGGTTCCGTTCCCTCCTAGGCATGCAAGAGTCACAGCTCTGATATCTGGTCCACTCCCGCCACCACATCTCTGTGGTTTCTGCTCAGCTCCAGCCCCGTGCCTTATGCTCCCCACACTATTGTCAGGAGCAGATGTGAGAGTGAAAAAGAGTGTCAGTGTTCCTGCCTGCCCACATGCAGCATCTGGCCAGGGACCACTGACTGCTCAGGGTATGCTCACGCCTGGCCCCTCACTGCTGAGGACAGGGACCACTGACTGGTCAGAGTATACACATACCTGGCCCCTCACTGCTGAGGACAGGGACCACTGACTGGTCAGAGTATACACATACCTGGCCCCTCACTGCTGAGGACAGGGACCACTGACTGGTCAGGGTATACACATACCTGGCCCCTCACTGCTGAGGACAGGGACCACTGACTGGTCAGGGTATACACATACCTGGCCCCTCACTGCTGAGGACAGGGACCACTGACTGGTCAGGGTATACACATGCCTGGCCCCTCACTGCTGAGGGCAGGGACCAGAACTAGCAGCAGCCCTTCCTGAAGAAGCTCCTATCACCCATTCGGGATCACTGCACCTACTCTGAGGATTACTGCTCCCACTGTTGGGCTAGCCACACAGAAAGAACCCACACCCCCTTCTGTCTACACCTGTTGGAACTGCCACAGTGTTCCCACTCTTGCATGGTCTGTAGAGACAGTGTGTCGCTCTGATTCTGCCACCAAAGTTCTTAGTCATAGTAAAGAAGCTCCCCTCATTAGCATTAGTTACCGTAGTCCAGAGTTATCTGCGCCTCTGGGCAGCCATCTTGAATCTTCCTGAGCTGGGGACTTTAAAATGGCGATTTCAGAAGCCCTTGGCTTTCTCTCTTTTATGTCCTTGTACTCTTTCTTTTTCTTGGTTTGGGATGAACATGGCATGATGGTATCGTGTTCTTTGGTAGCTCTGTGACCCCCACTCTTTCACCCTTCTAGGTATGCCGTAATACGCACCCTGCGCTTAGCAGATGGACCTGATGAAGTCCACCTCTCTGCAATCGCCAAAATGGAGCTTCAGGACCAAGCCAGACGCTTGACAGCCAGGATGTGAGGGGAGCAGCCCTGCCCATCCCACGGCTGGAGAGGCTTGAACACTTCGGTTTTTTTGAGACAGGGTTTCTCTGTGTAGTTTTGGTGCCTGTCCTGGAACTCATTCTGTAGAACAGGCTGGCCTTGAACTCACAGAGATCCACTTGCCTCTGCCTCCCAAGTGCTGGGATTCTCTTAATCATCTGTCTTCCATTTCTGCTGTGATTTGAGTAGGCTAATTATTTCACCCGTGGCAAAGATTTTAGCATCTGTTTTGATTATTGGGTTTTAAAATGTTAAGGATCACACAGATGTGGGGTAAATAGGAAATTCCATCACCGTCATCATTGGGTCTAGCGTCTAATGGTTTAGCATTTGCTTTATGCACATGTGACCCGTGACGAGGTGGCACTGGGAATGGTAGAGCTATTTCTGGATCATCAGCATGAAGAGCTCTTTGCCTTGGCTTTCGGGAATTAGGCCATGTGAATAGACACCCCAGGCCCATTTCATCTTGTCCTGAAACATATGTAGTTGTACCCCTTTTAATAGTGTTTTGGGGGTTAGTTTAGCACTTCCAAGAAAGACATAATGGAGGTTTTCAGTGTTCCCATGAAAAGCCTCTTCCTGACCCAGCAGGAAGCAGTTCTGGTGACAGTTCACTAGAAAATGTAGCGTGTTAGGGGAACGAGGCATCAAGGCCACTTAAGTTATGTAGAAAATGCCAACGAGAATGGTCAATAGTTGGTGCTACATTGGAGATCTCCATGTACCACGGTCCTCCACATTGAAATGTCACTGGTGCAGCAGATGAACCAAATTTTTAGTTTAAATATATATTTTCTGTTCAGTTGCTGGGAAAACTGTTAAGTATAGCTGAAAGGCTTGGTTGGGTGGATCTACCTTTTCAAGTATGAATGTTTTGAAATCTCAACACAAAGAGAAATATTTTAAATCAAAATTTGGCATCCAAATAAACACAGTAAGTGTAAAATACATACTAGATTTTGAAAACTTAACTGAAAATAATTTAAAATAGCTCATGGATAATACCTTTATATTGATCATACATTGAATTATATTTTGGAAATACTGAGTTGAATAAAATATGCCCAAATCTTCCCTGTTTCTCATTGCCATTTTATGGTGTGAATACCATTAGAAAAATAGCTGGGATAGTTTTTAAATTTTCAAACCAAAGTATTTTCAGTCCTAGAAATCTTTTACTTTTTTCATCAGAAAGTGTGTTTGTGGCATTTGACTGTGGATGGCCAAAGATGCTGTCTGTTGTGATTGAGTTTCTTCTTGGGGGGTGGGTGGGGGTTGTGTAGGAGAAGCAGGGGGTCTGCCACAGGCCTGGGCTTGGAACTGTGTCATGTGGACCTTTGCAGCTCATGTCTCTGGGCCCTCAGCTCCCTCTAACACCTTTCCTTTAAAATACAGTGGGATCACCTTTTTAATCCTGGGGGAGTTTCCTGATGTGAGCTGCTGTGAAGCATAATATATAAATACATATAATATATAATTATAGGAAAGGCCAACTGGTCAACCTCCAATCATGGGCGCCATGTAGGAGCAACTTCAAATTTGGGAAACACAGTAAAGTGTTTTGTACAGTTTCCTTGTTTGAAATACATCGAATCTTAGAACCAAATATACCTTATTATTAATTCTTTAAAGTTTTGGTTTAAAGATATCAGGGATTGTTCATATGTTTGGACACCTGGCCTTGAACTCCTCATCCTCCTGCCTCTACCTCCTGGGATTATGAGTTTATACTACCATGTCTGACCTTGGGGTTGTCTTCTCTTTGTTTTGTTTTGTTTTTTAGCAGTCTGAATTAAGGTTCATATATTTAAAATCTTGTGAGCACATTCTCTATCTCTGAGGAAACCCGGCTGCATAGACTGCAATTCATTTCAGTTCATCTATTGTCTTTTTGTCTCTGTCCCCAGGCAGGTCACCCCATGTGACCCACAGCTCTTTAATTTACTCAGACAAAACCACATTAAATAGAGGAGCAAGGCCAATAAGATGGCTCAGTGGGTAAAGGCACCTGCAGCCAAGCCTGGTGACCTGAATTCAGCACTGGGACCCATGTGGTGGAAGGAGGGAATCCCATACAACAGACACACAGACACACAGAGACACACACACAGGAAGAGAGAGAGAGAGAGAGAGAGAGAGAGAGAGAGAGAGAGAGAGAGAGAGAGAATAAATAAATGCAAAAAATTTCAAAAAGAAGAGAATAAATAAATGCAAAAAAATTCAAAAAGAAAAGATTTTTTTAAGTGAAAAAGTCCCATTATAAAACAAGAGTGAGCTGGGCAGTGGTGGCACACACCTTTAATCCCAGCACTTGGGAGGCAGAGCCGGGCGGACCTCTGTGAGTTTGAGGCCAGCCTGGACTACCAAGTGAGTTCCAGGAAAGGCGCAAAGCTACACAGAGAAACCCTGTCTCGAAAAACCAAAATAAAATAAAATAAATAAAACAAGAGTGAAGGACTCCAGGCATGGTGGGAGAATGGACTAATGATAAGCTTGTGCACTTAAAGCCATTTCTAGGATATTGCACCCACACACAGACACCCAAGGCAGTCACCAGAAGTCATCATGGCCTGCCAAGATTTTTCCATGTGGTTGGTAGCAGAAGAGGAAAAGCCTCTGATGGGAAGACATGAGCTCCATGCAGAAAGCAGGCGCAGTCATTCTCACAATAGGACACGGAGGGATTGCTGTGCGCTCCCTGGGGAGTAGTCAGTTACCTTCCTCTGCCACATTGACTATATGGAAACAGACAAGCTGATTCCTCACCAACCTGTAGCTGTTTAAGAAGGCTTTCCCAAGGTAAGTCCACACAACCCAGTTGGTCCCCACTTGGGCTGTACTTCACCTGCCACAGACATGCCTCTGTTTTACCAATGAGAAGTAAAGTGGCTGACAAGCAGGCAAGTCCAGTGTAAGATTGTTCTCACATGTATCTTCATTTATCATTCTCTACCTTGTTTGAGACAGGGTCTCTCACTGAACCTATGACTGATCAGAGAGCTCCAGGGATCCACCACCCACCTTACCCCAGAGGTTATAGTCATACATTGTTGTGTATATTTCGATTACATTCTGACAGTAAAGTTTGCTTTGAATCAGAGGGCAGAGCTAGCCACTAGCTGACCAAAATTAACCATAGAGGTTTTGGAGGACTAAGGACAGCTAGAGAGACAGGAAGAATTAGGACAGGGCTTAGAGAGGATCTGAGTCCTTTTGGATGGAAGAATGGAAGAGATAGGAGGTCACTGGTTGCTTCACCACCGCTTCCCTGATCATTCAGGTTCTTACCCCAGTATCTGACTCCCGACTTTTTACTGATAAAGAATGATTAGATAAATGCAACAATACACCGCCATGCCTGACTTCTTACATGTCCTCATGCTTACACAACAGCACTTTACTGACTGATCCATGGCCCCCGCCCCTAATTTTCTTTTTTAATGGACACAAGACGTGCCAACAACTACTTTTCTTCATAAACCCAATATGGTAGTCTCTAGAAAGCTCAAAAAGACAGACATTACCCAGGCTACTTAAGGGGTTTGAACTTGTGACAGTCTTAAATAAAGGATGTCATCAAATGAAAGACGGCCATGAAAATGCCTGCTATGAAGGATCCCATACTATTGCATCAAGCCAAGTAGCCTTGCATAGTTTCTCCATTTTACAAGTGGAAGGAGATGTCCTCTGCAAGGCCATGGGCCTCTGGCTTGTTGGTCCTTGGCAAGTCTTTTCACCTTCGTTTGGCCTGGGTTTCCACAGCTGCCTCCCAATTACACATGCAGTCACAGCCCAACAGCTGGCTGCCAAAACCCTCTCGAATGTGTGGCTGGCTTCCCCTGACCAAGAACTCACCCACAGTCCTCACTTCAGCTGTCTGGGTTTCAGCAGAGCTCATCCAAGCCTGAGACCTTCTGATCTCCACTGCCTGAACCATTCTAGCATTTTCTCCGGGCCTCCGTTCCAGCACACTTGCATACCCAGACCCTAGAGCCCTGGCTCCTGCTGCTTTCTTTGTTAGGAAAGATTTACTGAGATTTTCCAAAGACCTGTTCAAAAGCCAAATGTCCTCTGTTGGCCATTGTCCTGAACTGGTTTTATCATCATCCCTCAGCTCATTAGTTCTTTTCTCCTCACAGTGTTGGCTCATGCCTTTCATATCTATTTATGGTCTGTTTTCCCAAATTTATTTCACGTGTGTGTGCATGCACAAGAGTGAGCATGTGTGTTGTCTGTGTGTGTGTGTGTGTGTGTGTGTGTGTGTGTGTGTGTGTGTGTGTGCATGCATGCTTGTGTGTACCTGGCATTACTACCACTTATTTATGCTCAGTTAGGGGTGGAGATAAGGCAGAAAGGCCACTCAGAACGTGCTGAGGCCCTGAAGAGGAGCTGCAGTCCAAGCCCCAGGCCAGGAGTGAACTTGGGCAGCTGATGGAGAATGGCTTGAGGAGGTGAAGAAAAACTAGCCCTAAGAAACAGCAAAATACCAGTGGCCAGCACAAAGGATGGCCAGGAGTCTGGGCAAATAACTGATGAAACAGATGTTCAGTGAGAATTAACACCCAAGGGGATATGCATTTAGCATTTCTCTTAATATCTAATCAGCCAGAGGGGACAACAAAGAGAAACAGAACCAGTTCTGGTAATTGCTAGAATTTTCCAGTTCCCCAAATAAGCAGGATTCTGAGAAGAGTCATCCCTTGTGATCAATTGCCAATTTATGATCCTACCATATTTTTCTCCAGCGTGTCTTCCTCATGATGGTGTTTGCACGTTCCTTTTGTTTTGTTTGTTTTTTGGGTTTTTTTGAGACAGAGTTTCTCTGTGTAACAGGCTGTCCTAGAACTTGTTTTGTAGACCAGGCTGGCCTCAAACTCATAGAGATCCACCTGCCTCTGCCTCCTGAGTGCTGGGATTAAAGGTATGCGCCACCACAGCCCTACTGCATGTTCCTTTTATGGTAAACCTACTCAAGCTTGAGTGTGGGCAGCTGTCAGGCTTCTTGTCTGCCTTCTCTTCATCCTGAAATATGGGCAGGTCCTCCCAGGCAGCTTGAGTGAGGACTGGCCAGGTGGAGGACTGCCAGGAGGCAGCTTGAGACCATCCCCATTTCCTTGGGCTGATGCACCCGATGTCACTCCTCCAAATGGGAAGAAGAGGAGTCTGCAGGCTCTATCCTCCACCACCTTCCCTGCTCTGAAGTCAGCATTCAACATTCTTTTCCTTCCTCTCTCTGTACCAGCTGTGTTAGCCATCTGCTGTTCTTCCAGGGTCCGGACGTTTGCTCACCTGGGGTCTTTGTACAGCCGTTTGTTTCTTTGAAAGCTTCCCCCGCCCCATTCCATGTGCTCAGGGATTACTCCTATCCTGCAGTTGTGACCTTCCGGCCATTTCTTCTATGGCCACCCCTCAAACTTCTAAACCCTCCCAACATATGTGCATACCATTAACCCCTCTTCTTTGGGTTTCTTAGAACTTCTTTGCCTCATGTGACACACCGTATGCTTTTCTTTGATTTATTATGCCCTCCTCTTCTCCTAGTAAAGAGTATATTCTTTTTTGTTTCCCACCCCACCCTACCCCCACACCAGGATTCTGTGATGCATCCCAGGCTAGCCTCAAATTCATAGTCTTCTTGCCTCGGCCCCCCTAATACACTTTGGCAGATAAAGTCCTTTGCCTGCCTGTTCCCTGGGATCTGAAAAAGTGCCTGGAACACTGAGTAGTGTGTCCCCAGTCACTATGTATGTCATGAATATACAAGGGCTCAGCAGCTTCAAAAAGAAGGGATCCTGGGATGTGTCATTAGCCTCTGCAGGACAAGGGTGGTGGCAGCAGGTTCATGTTTTTCACTGGCCATCCAGACACTAGAAAGTTCTTTTTTATTATCTTTTTAGAGAGGGGGAAAGGAGAGAGAGAGAGAGAGAGAGAGAGAGAGAGAGAGAGAGAGAGAGAGAGAGAGAGAGAGAGAGAATATTTCTGCATACCATACACACATATAGAAGTCAGAGAACACCTTACCAGAGTTGTTTCTCTCCTACAATGTAGGTCCCAGGTTGGGGGGCTTGGTGGCA